TGGCCCTCGTGCGCCAAGTGTCGTCCTTTGTCCGGGTCCGTTTTCATCCGAAAACGATTAAATTCGTACCGATTTAAGCTCAAAATATTTTATATGAAATTTATTTTAAAATATTTTTCAAAATTTCAAATTTTTATAAAAATTTCGTTTTTAGGGGTCATCGAACACCCGTCACCTCGAAAAACGTGAAAAATCTAACTATCTCAGAATTCGACGAAATTTTGTCTGGGTAACTAGATTTCGTGAGACGAATCCAACGGTGAGGTCCGTTTCATCATCCGAGGTCTATAAAAATACCAGTTTTTTTTTAACCCACACTATAATTGCAAATTACCATTTTGCCATTTTTTTTTTCAGAAAAAGTTAAAATTTTCCCGGGTTTCACAGTGATGGTGAGTGCAGTAACTAATTTAGGCCGTGTTTTCTTTAAGCATGCATTTACCAAATTACTAGCATTGAAATTCTATGGTACTATTTCCATTTTTTTAATAATTAATCACCAAATTACAGCTTTTTTATTGGTCTAGGTAAAATTTGGATCTGTATTGTTTGTTGTGACATGTTGATGGGGCAAGAGGATGGCTACCATGAGGTGTGCCTAGGTTAAAGAATAAACATTGATAGTAGCAATCACTACAATTTTGCTACTACCTACAAGTGTATTGTATAATTACGATTATTATCATTTTTTTTCCCAAAAGGTCATTATTTATCATTTTTAATGGTTAATATCACTATGATGTTGTGGTAATTTGTAGATAGCCGTGTTTAGACAAGACTATAATATGACGATGAGTTCAGTAATTGGTTAGGTATGATTATGAGATATATAAATTTTGTGACAAGTTGATATTTATTTGGACTCCTATTTTTAGAGAAAATTCCGTTAGAATTTTTATAAAATTAGCAAAACCCATATTGAATTCAATTTCTCTTATTCAAGCAATGGAAGGAGAAATGTTCCAAATCAACTACTTTTTTTTATGTTAGATGGTATCTTCAGGCACCGGTTGTCTATAGTTTGGACATTGTTAGTATTGCATTAGGTTTTGTGTCATTTTGGGTTTAGTGTTTAGAGTTTAGGGTTTTAGGGTTTAGGTTTAGTCAAGGGCAGTTATTGTTTTTCTAGTGAGAGAAGCTCTCACCACTCTCTAGGTTTTCTTTGCTTTTTCCTACATTCTTGATCTTTATGCTTTGTTCTGCGCATTTATTATGACTGCTGATCAAAATCAGGGTCAAATCCCTCCTAAGCCACCGGATGTTTCCCTTATTTCCATCACAACCCCAAGATTTCTTTAAATCCTTTAACCCAGTCAACATCGGCACACTTTACCGATATTGTTCAGAATGGGGCAAAAGCTTCAACAACGTTGCAAGATGTCACAAAGAACTCTTGTATGCCTCCTACAAACCCGAATCTACAATCTACAACAGATATTGCAAAAATCCTTCCACAATCGGTGCAATTGTCCGAGTTAGGCAGATGGTGCAAATGCTTCAGGATCGCAACAGGTAATCGCAAACTCCTGTGGTATCCTCCCCAAAATCCCAATCTCCAACCCGGATCTGATATTACAAAAAATTTTGCTCCCCTTTTCAAAAAAACCCCATCAACTTCGCCTCCTTTGGTGTTCATTTTTCCTTCGGCTCCTTCGAGCTCTTCGGATACACAGTCTCCACAGCCGATTGAAGGGGTCTCCTCTCCAATGCCTTCAGCATCCTATTTTAGGCCAGCCAAACGGGTGGTTTTCAATAACGGGGAACCTGGGATGTATTGGTCTTCTGAGGAAACTCAAACTCTCTCAAAGAAGTTCCACCAGACCTTAATAGGAAAATGCGCATATGGTTAACCATCAGTTGGTGTTATCAGGGAATTCATCACTACCAGATGGCTCCTGAAAGGCAACTTCACTGTCGGGGTCTTGGATCCAAGACACGCATTGATTACAATGAGGATTACGTCAAGACATGGTTAAAGGATGCTGTGACACCCCAAAATCTGGGGGTCCGTTGATTCCCCATCAACCCGTGGATACCGAGTAATTTGATATCACGCCATTATGCGCCATTTACTGGAAACCATAATTTTTTATGAAATTCGGGCAGAGTCTCCTTTGTACGGGAAGCTCTACCAAAAACTCAACCTGTGCAATCATATAATAACAAGACCCATCCGAGGTCCAATATTCAACAATGACCACACCGGGTCCAATTATCCATATTTATATCAACACATGCAAAGTTAGTTTAACAATAGTCTATATAAGTTCTATTACAATTATTTGCAAAATATTACATGTCCAAAACATTATTTCCACAAATGTTTTACATTATCACAAAATAAAGCCACATTCGGCTTTCTTCAAACATGAGGGTCCAAATTGGAGCCATCTACCGATGTATCTCTCCCACCTGAAATGTTTTGCAGTATAAGTGAGCTAACGCCCAGTAGAATAATCCCTCTAGAGGCTACTCTCCACCTTAGATGCATATGTGGTGTATATAAGCAACAAACAACATTTAACAATCATTCCATACAAGAATATGCATTAAATGTGGAATGTAATCATGTCATGCCATGAAATGAGATGATACTCACTCATACACTTAAACCCAAGTCATCATCGACTCCCACGACACAATGCAATGCCAAGGTATACTGAATCCGTCAATTGACGAAAAAATTCACCAAATGATCGTTTGAAATAAAAGTTGTTTTATTATAAAACCAAATCATTAATGGGTGTTACTCATTATATGAGTACTTTATAAATCAAAATCTTGTGTCTTGTTGGGCAACGGATTTTGGATTTTATACCGCCGGTTCCGTACACCATACTACACTTTTTTGGAATTTCACTACAGGGGAATGTATAACCAAGTCGCCGAGTCTTGCACCCGAGGGGGGAATCTACCCCTTCTTGCTATACCCGACACAAGTTTTTCTTTCATGCAACCATGTGACTCATTCAGATTTTCAACCTAACTTTTTCGAGTCTACCCATTAATCACCAAGAATGGTGTTTAATTAACCATGCATACACACATCCACACTCATGACTCATGCCCATGAATGTGATGCCAATTCCTTGTTCATATTGCAATGCATGCCAAAGGAACAATTTTTACACATCAATGTCTACCATGGCGATTTATATCATATGCTAATAATCCCCATAATTTCATCACAATGTCAAAACATCAACTAGCATGTGTCAACATTTATATTCAACACAATTGACAAGCATGTTATCACATAATCTATGTCAAAAACACACTTAATTTAAAAGACAAAATATAGCACATATTTCAGCCCACAAGAAAATCAGCCCATAGTGGCCCAAAATTTAGCCACTAAACCGCCCCAAAATAGGCCCTAAAATAGCCCCCAAAACAGTCTGTATACAGCCCCTAATTAGTGCACAAAACAGCCCCAATTTCAGCACCAAAACAGTCCGTAATTCAGCCCCTTAACAGTCCAAAATTCAGCCCCTTAACAGTCTATTTGGACAGCCCACATATAAACCATTTTCAGCCACTAAAAGCCCACTTAAGGTAAGAATAAAACCAAGGTAGGAGCGAACCCTACCTCTTGTAGCGTGTAAGAAGTGGTAGAACTTCTAAAAAACACCAAAACAAGCCCAAGAACCTTTGATTCCTCCAAAGTCTTTTCTTTGCACCTTCGGTGAAATCCACTTTTCTTGGTACGTACACGTAACCCTCGTCGAGGAGATGAACTTTGATTCTTGACTCGACGAATTCCGACCGACGAAACTCCGAGAATCTTGGATTGAAGCTTGAAGAACTTACTTGTTTTTCTCTCTTTTCATTCTCTTCTCTCTATGGCCGGCCAAGGGTCAAGAACATGAGATATTTTTTCCAAAATATTTAAGTCAAGTAGGTATTTATAGTCCTGAATGTGTGGTCCACATCGCACCGCATATTTCAGACTTCCGGGTCCGTTTTTCGTTCCGAAACGATTTGTTATACCTCAGATTTAGTTAAAATTAATTGTATTGGAACTTTAACTTGATTTTAAGAAAAAAATTTAAAAAATTCATTTTTGGGGACCTTTAAAATGTCATTCGCCTCGTAGTTGCCTTGAACAACGTGCAAAAATTCGTCTATCTCGAAATTCGACGAAATTTGACAGGGTGATTAGATTTTGCGATACGAATCCAACGGCGAACTCGTTTCCTCAACCGAGGTCTAGAACATGAGTATTTTAAATACGCATTAGGATGACAAATTACCATTTTACCCTTTCTAAGAAAAAGTTCAAATTTTCCCGGGTTTCACAGATGCAACACACATCGAGGGCTTCTTGTTCAGGTTCTTCAAGTGGTTTTCGGAGTTCCTGCCTGGGATTGAACCACCAGTGGTTCCTATTTGGATTTCTCTCCCAGGTTTGCCAATTCACCTCTTTGATAAGGAGAGCCTTCGGGACATTTTGAGTCCCATCGGGAGAATCCTTGTAATTGACTCACCCACCCTCCTATTATCTAGGCCAGGTGTGGCTAGCGTATGTGTCGAAGTTAATTTATTAGCTGATAACCCATCTCGTCTTTGGCTGGATTTTGGCGGAACAAGTGGGCGTTGGCAAAAGATTAATTATGAAAAATTGGTGAAGTATTGTGCTGGGTGTTTGAAAGAAGGCCATGGGATGCTCGAGTGTCGTAAAGGCAAAAGGGAAGAGGAAAACAAAGTGGACAAACAGGCATACAACCCTAAGGAGGAAAGAAAGCAGAAAGCTGGCATCTCGAAAAAAGACGAGGACCTTAAGGGGAAAGATAAGGCATGGCAGAAAGTCACAAAAAAAGCGAATTCCAAAGTAACCGTGAAAGAGGGTCACCAAGCACCACAGTTTCTCGAATCCTATAAATTTAGATGTAGGAGGAGAGGAGGATGCCAATAAATTTAATGTGTTAAGAGGAGAGCATTCGGGCAAGGATGTCGCAGAGGAGGGAAAAGATGAAACGGAAAATCATAACGGGGATTCAATTACTTAAAAAAGCACTGTTGTAAGTTCTGAGGCAAAAAACAAGGAGGATTTGGTTACTGTAACACCGGATGAGGAGAGGTTACAGGGCGCAGAAAAGGAGAAAGAAATGTCATTAATGGAGGTATCTCCCGAAAGAGGTGAAAAGGGTATACAGAACGGTATGGATAATGCTCTATTTTCTCAACCTCAGGCGGAAGGGTCTAAAGAGGTGCAACAGATGGCAGGTACAGTAATGTGCTCGTTAAATAAACAATCTCATTCACCTACCTCATCTTCTTTCTTTGTGGATCATCTGTATGAGCTAAGAGGCAGACAAAATTACACCGTGGATGACGAAAGTGGACTCAGGAGGGATAAAGAACCACCAGACAGGGGCTTTTACTCTGATCAAGAAAGCTCAAAAAATTGGGCTGATTCAAGTGAAGATGCCACTGTAAATGAAGATCAAGGAATTATCTTGCTAAACCAAACAACAGTGAACTACTCCGACTGCAGTACTGGGCATAGTCCCAGAGGTAATGATGAAACAAATTCTTTATGATGAATTTCCTAATGTGGAATGTAAGGGGTGCTGGAAAAGAGAGCCTAAGAAGCAAATTAAAGAAATTAATTGTAATGAATAAGGTGAGTCTTCTCGCTGTTATTGAACCAAAAATGTCCCATACCAAACTAAGGAATTTTGGTCTTGCTGTTGGGTTAAATTCTTTTATGGCAAACACAAAGGCAGAGAAAAATATGTGGCTTTTATGGAATGATAACTTGGAAGTTAAGAGCATGCTGCACTTTGAACAAGCTATGACCGTGTCAGTCTCCTACCAGGGAGCTGATCCAGTGTTAGTTACGGTGGTGTATGGTTGTTGTGACTTACTTGTTAAGGAGGCCCTTGTGGGGACACTTACAGGTTATTTCTACATCCTTTGCTATGCCCTGGTTGGTGATGGGGGATTTTAACATTGTGATGAGGTCAAATGAAAGAATGGGGGGGTGCCTCTCCATCTGTGTTGGCAATGGATGAATTTGGGGACTGTATTCAATCGGAGGGGCTAATTCGAGAATGTGGCAACGGCTGGACAGAATGTTTGCTAACGCTGAGAACTTCTTCCTCAAACTAAAAATGCTAAAGTTTAATATCAAAAAATGGAACAAGGAGGTGTTTGGGAACATTTTTGAAAAGATTAGTATGCAGGAATTGGCTTTGCGAGAGGCAGAACGTTCTGTGGATGATAACTACTCTGCAAGAAAGAATCTAGAGGAAACACTTAGGTTGGAAGAATTGTACTGGAGACAAAAAGCTAACATAAAATGGGCACTACACGGGGAGAGGAATACCAAGTTCTTTCATGCTTTGGCCAAAGGGAAGGCTGTGAGGAACAGACTGATGAGGATTAAAGGTGAAGATGGTGAATGGTGTGACTCTGAGGAGGAGATCTCTCAACAGGCCACAACCTTTTTTGCTAAACTGTACATGTCAGAGGACCATGGGCTTGATGAAGAGCTATTTGGGGTTATTCCTAAACTTGTTGGACCAGCGGCTAACGAGATCTTGACTATGACTGCTACCTTAACCGAAGTGAAACAGGTTGTCTTTTCTATGTCTGTGGAAAGCGTCCCTGGCGCTGACGGTTTTTCTGGTAGATTCTTTCAAGTAGCATGGGATATTGTTAAAAGCGACCTTTTGGAGGCGGTTAATTTTTTCTTGAGTGGGGGAGTGATTCCAAGATCTGTTAACTCCACACTCCTTGTGTTTGATTCCAAAAGTGATGAAGCCTTGCTCTTTCACAGACTTTAGGCCCATAAGCCTATGCAATTTTTTGTACAAAGTCTTCACGAAGGTCCTATCCAATAGACTTGTGGCTCTCATTCCGTCTCTGATCTCAAATGCAAAACACGGTTTTGTCAAAGGGAGAGGGATTGGGGATTGTATTTCTTTAGCACAGTTAATGGTGGGCGAGCTTGATAGAAAAGTCGAAGCAGGCAACGTGATTCTTAAATTGGATATGATGAAGGCATATGACCGCATTGGTGTGGGACTTTTTGGAAAGAACTTTGGGCTGTTTTGGTTTTTCAAACTTATTTGTTTCCATCATTGGTAACTTCCTAAAGAACCAATTCTTCTCGGTCTGCTTGAATGGGAAAAGATTTGGCAATTTTCCTTCGTCTAGAGGGTTGAGACAAGGTGGCCCAATCTCACCTGCTCTCTTTATTTTGGCCAAGGAAGTGTTAAGCAGGGGCTTGATGAAGCTGTATGGTGAAGGCAGAATCAAGGCTTTTCATGCAGGGAGGGGTGCTCTTCTTATTTCTCATCCTCTTTTTGCAGATGACACTCTGTTGTTTCTTAGGGGGAATAAACTATCCATGGAACAAATGGTGAGATTTTTGGCAAGATACGAGGAGTGCTCTGGTCAGAGAATAAGCAAGCAGAAAAGTTCCTTAATCTGCTCCTCCAAAATTCCCCTGGTCAGGAGAATGACACTTTCCAAAATTGCACAAATTCCAATTAAACAATGCCCCTTCACCTACCTAGGCTGCCCCATAATTAGAGGAAGATATAAACTCCGGGATTTTGAGGAAGTGGTTCTAAAATTCAAGGCTAAATTGGAAGGGTGGTATGCATGCTTGCTATCAAACATGGGCAGAATTGTATTGGTTCAATCGGTCCTCAGTGCAGTCCCTATTCACTTGCTCTCTTGTCTTAGGGTGCCCAAAGGCATCCTGGTCAAGTTGAAGTCTTTGATGGCCTCCTTTATTTGGTCAGGCAGGATGGGGGAGAGGAAAAGGCATTGAGTTTCAAGATATTTTAAGACCCAAGCAAGAGGGGGGCTTGGAATTCGTAAATTTGAGGACATCCAAACTGCTTTTCGATGGAAGCAGGTATGGGGAATTCTAAAGGGTGACTCTCTTTGGGCGAACATGTTTAGAGCAAAATTCTTAAAAGGCAAACACATGTTATGATGTCTGGGCACTGCAAAAGCTCGTACATTTCGAATGCTGCAACCTTTCTTTTGCTTGGTTATGGAGAACTCCTAGGTTTTGGTGGGAAACGGGAAGTCTGTGGATTTTTGGTGCACGAACTGGGCAGGATCTGGCCCTTTATTGCTCAGGCACGATGTCTCCCCCTCGAGCTTTCTAAGTCTAGATGCGATATGGGCAAGAGGGGACTGGTAGTGGCAGTTATTGGGAGTCCAGATTTCTGAGCAATTAAAGCACGAAATCCATAACTCTGGGATTCGTTTATGTGGCAAAGAAGATCGATTGATATGGAAATTAACCGAGTCGGGAGAGTTCAATGTCAAATCAGCTTGGCAGGCGGTGAGAACTTCAAATAACCCTGTGCCTATAACCTCTGCGATCTAGAACCAATCTGTCTTTCCAAGTGCAAAACTGCTGGGATGGAAGATACATATGAAAGCTGTGGTGGTGGACTCAAATTTCCAACGTATTGGCGTTGAATTGGCCAGTAGATGCCCTCTATGCCATCAGGAAGTGGAAACTACGACTCACCTATTCACACAATGCAACTTTACTAAAGAGGTTTGGGGGAAGCTTGCTGCCTTTTGTGGATTTCAGATTTTCTCGGCTGAATCTCCCATGGTTCGTATGATGAGGTTGATCAGAATTTAAAAAAAAAACTCTGTTAGCAATAACCTATTAAGAGGTACTTCACTGGTGGTCTTTTAGAGACTATGGAGGGAGCGATGCAGAAGAGTCTATGAAGATATCTCACTTTCGGCCCATGCTGTTTTTCTTGATATTTGCTCCTCTTTGCGTCTTCGGGCTTATGGTACTCGTCCCAAGGCAAAGGAAGGCATGATGGGGATGGATCTTTTGAGGGCCTTAAAGGTGGAGATGAGGCAGGAACTGGAACCAAAAATTATTTGGATTAACTGGTCCCCTCCTCCCTCCGGTTTTTTAAAGCTAAATGTGGATGGGGCATCGAAAGGAAATCCTGGAAGAGCTGGGGCTGGAGCTGTGGTAAGGAATGAATGGGGGCACATTGTCTTGGCTGCTTCTTTTTTCTATGAGGTTTGTTCAAACATGGAGGTTGAGCTTTATGCACTCAAGGATGGTTTATTGTTGTTTAGAAGTTATGGGCTGTTAGACTGTGGCCTTCTGATTGAAACTAATTCAGCGGTGATGGTCCAAATGGTGATGAAAGGGCACATGAGGGCCCGAAAGTTTTGGAAGATTTGTGATGAGATCATGGAGTTATTGAAGGGCATGAATTTTAGTTTGGCTCATGTATACAGGGAAGCAAATTGCTTAGCTGACTGTCTTGCAAACCTTGCTGTTTTGGAGGGTGCCTCTTCGGATTTCACACGTGATTTGAAGATTCCTTTCCGGGCAAAATTAATTCAGATCCAGGATCAACAAGGTGTTAAAACGTCAAGGAAAAAGTTTACTAATTTTTGATTCTTTGGTTTTTACTTATGAATCATCCAATCGGGCTGGGGCTTTTGTTTCTCATTGCTTGGCTTCTCGCAGCTGGTGTGTTTGCTTCCTTTACCCTGCTGGGAAGCTTAGGCAACATTTGTACATTAAATGCAGCTGGGGGGACATTCCGGTGGCTTTTTTGCTGTTTTTGGTCAGGGAGTACTATTCACGCGACTGTTCACGTGAACAGTGCTTCCTGCTGCTGGCGGTTTTTCTCAGCTGACCTCTACTGATATTGCAGCTGCTGTGGGTGATTTTCAGATGGTTTTCAACTGGTTTTGGTCATGACACACTGTTCACGCTACTGTTCACATGGACAGCCTGTTTGCGGCTACTGATGGGCTCTTTCAGCTAGTTTTTTCTGGATCTCAGCTGGATTTTGTGCTGATTTCAGCTGGGGATCGTGGCTCATTTTGTTGCTACAGCTGGTTTTATCAGACTTTATCTTTGGTAAACATTGAAGGCTTTCCACGGTTCTGCTCAGAGGGTTTTCAGCTGGATTTCCAGCTGGTCTCAACGGGTTTCCAGCTGGTTTTCCATGATTTCTTTGTGGTTCTCTGCTGGTTCTTATGGGCTCCACTTGCTGCTGTGATGGTTCATGTGCACAGCTTTCTTGTCGCTGCTGCTGGCCACCTCTGGTCTCTTTTTCTTCAGCTGGTTTTGCTGATTTTCTCATGGTCTCTCAGCGGTTCTTTCATCTGCTTGACGCTGGCTATTGGTCTGCTGCTGTGGGTTTCTCTGTTGCTGCTTCCTTCGGCAGTCAGCTGGGGATTTGTTCTCAGCGGGCTCTCAGTTGCTGTGTTGGTTCTGGGCTTATGTTCATTCCTCATGGTTTTCATCATCTCGCAGTTGCTGTCTCTTGGGTTTCCAGCTTTCCTCCAGCTGAATTTTCTGGATCTTCAGCTGGACTCTCAGCTGGCTTTTGCTAGCCTTCATGTCCCATTTTATGTCCTTTTCTTTTTTGATGGTTTATGCCACATTGGCTTCCTTGTTTTTGTTAAAGCCCGGCTTCCTTGCTTCTTGTAATTTCTGCTCATTTCAATATATCCTCCTTTTTTTTTAAAAAAAAAAAATAGGGTTTAGGAAAAGCATGGTGAGAGTTGTGGTGAATGTTGGAATATTTGGGTCGCCGGAGTTGGACTCCAGAGAGAAAGGGAGGAGACAAATTGTTAGAGCAATTACTGAGATACCTCGGCGTAAGAGATTTTGGGGATGAGCTGGGCATGAGAGATTTTGGGGATGAGTAGGGGAAGATTTTGGGGATGAGTTTGGAAGGCAGAGGATGAAATTGAGAAGGATTCTGAGAGAGATTTTAGGGGAAGATATGGGGGAATCAGAGGAGACTGGGGCGTCAGTCAAGCAAAAAGCCCTTATAATTAAAACAGGAATTTTGTCGGGCGGGGAAACTAATTTCGGTAATCACAATATACCGTTAGATCAAAATTTTTGAAATGATCTGAACCGTCTTTTATGTTGAGATTACATTGTCCGTCGGATGTGCTTATGTTTTGTCTCAAAACGATCTGAACCACTCTTTGTCTCTTGGATTCAAACTCAACTCTACTTTATTATATAGATTATAGCATTGTATATTAAATTTTATCACAATTGACCTAGATAATCTTAATACAGTAAGGTTCCAATATGATTAATTTATTGATAATTATTTTTATTTTATTAAATGATTTATAAGTAAAATCTTAATCAAATTAATTTTTTAATTATTTATTCTTTATTTATAAATGTCAATTTTTATGAAACTTTTTGACTTATTATATTACTCTTCAAAAATATATGCATTATTATAAGTTTTAACAAAATATTAAAAAAAACCTTCAAAAACTCCATTAATATAATATTACTCATCTCATTTATAAAGATAATATTATGACTACGTATGTATATTTTATTTTTCATCAAAACCATTTTATTTTTAAGAAAAAAATAATGTATATATAGTTTTATATAATTTTTTAGTTATAGTAAACTTTTTAAACTTTGTTATATCAAATAATAACCGATCATTTTTCTTAAAGTTAGAATAACCAATCTTGAAAATATACAAAATTTTCAAAAATTCTATAATGGAGCATGAGCAATGAAAAAATAAATTTGGTAAAATTGAGATGATATTTAATTCAATCATATATACCAAATAATTATTTATTAATTTTTTTTAAAAAAAATTAGTCACGTGCAACGCACGTGGCGCATTGCTAATACAAATATATGTTTTATTCACACTTTGAACAAGGACTTCATTTTGACTAGAACAAAGGTTTGAACATAATCATAATATTCAATGATCGAGATTTAAAGCAATATTTAAGCATATATCAATATCTAGTGTGTGTCACACCCTGTTTCCCATAAAATGAGAAACATGAGTTTAAAACCATAATAATTATACTTAGGTTACTCCGGATTTTATTAAGAAAATATCTATATCTATACTACTATAAAATATCAACATATATGAAAAACATTTTTTAGACACTTTTGTCCTCCAAAATTTTGAAAATGCCAAGATCACCATTGAATTTAAATACCAAACATTTGTGACATTAATCATACACATCTCCATTTTTAAACTTTTGGTTTCCTAACCTCTTTTCTCTCAACCACATCTCTATATTTACTTCCATCCTTCACATACCAATTGTTCGCTTCTACCCATAACAAATAAATGACTTTCTTGTATGTGACTTTCTTGTAGCTCTGAGGAGGAGATTTCTCATCAGGCTGTCACTTTCTTTACTAAATTGTACAAGTCTAAAAACCATACCCTTGATGAAGAGTTATTTGGGGTCATTCCTGAGCTTGTTGGACCAACTGACAACGAGAATTTGACTATGGCTGCCACCTTAATTGAAGTTAAATAGGTTGTGCTTTCTATATCTGTGGAAAGCGCCCTTGGAACTGATGGTTTCTCTGGTAGATTCTTTCAAGTTGCATGGGATATTATTAAACATGACATGTTAGAAACGGTTAACTTTTTCTTAAGTGGGGGAGTGGTCCCAAGATCGGTCAACCCCACACTCCTCGTTTTGATTCCAAAAGTGTTGAAGCCCTGTTCTTTCTCAGAGTTCAGGCCCATAAGTCTATGCAATTTTTTATACAAAGTCTTCACTAAGATCCTATCCAATAGACTTGCTTCCCTTCTTCCATCTCTGATTTCAAATGCATAGCATGGTTTTGTCAAAGGGAGAGGGATTGGGGACTGTATTTCTTTAGCTCAGTTAATGGTTGGAGAGCTTGATAGGAAAGTTGAGGCTGGCAACGTGATTCTTAAACTGGATATGATGAAGGCGTACGATCGCATAGAGTGGGATTTTTTGAAAAGAACCTTGACTTGTTTTGGCTTTTCAAGCTTGTTCATTTCTATCATTGGCAACTGCTTAAAGAATCAATTTTTCTCGGTCTGCTTGAATGGGAAAAGATTCGGTTTCTTTCCTTCGTCTAGAGGACTGAGACAAGGTGACCCAATTTCTCCGGCTCTCTTTATTCTGGCAGAGGAGGTTTTAAGTAGAGGACTGTTGAAGCTGTATGGTGAAGGCAGAATCAAGGCTTTTCATGCAGGGAGGAATGCAATTCTTGTCTCTCATCTGCTTTTTGCAGATGATACTCTACTGTTTCTTAGGGGTAATAAACTTTCCATGGAACGATTGATGAGGTTTTTGGCAAGATACAAGGATAGCTCTGGACAGAGGATAAGTAAACATAAAAGCTCTTTCATATGTTCCTCCAATATTCCTCGGGGCAGGACAATGACTCTATCCAGAATTGCTCAAATTCCAATAAAACAATGTCCCTTCGTCTACCTGGGATGCCCCATGATAAGAGGAAGATATAAACTGCGGGATTTTGAGGATGTGGTCCTAAAATTCAAAGCCAAAATGGAAGGGTGGTACGCACGCTTACTTTCAAACATGGGCAGAATTGTGTTGATTAAATCAGTCCTTAATTCTGTTCCTATTCATTTGCTCGCTTGTCTAAGCGTGCCCAAAGGCATCCTGGCAAAGTTGAATTCTCTCATGACCTCCTTTATGTGGCTAGGCAGGATGGGGGAGAGGAAAAGGCTTTGGGTTTCATGGTCTGTAATTACAAGACCCAAGCAAGAGGGGGGGCCTAGGGATTCGTAAATTTGAAGATATCCAAACGGCATACCGTTGGAAGCAGGCATGGGGTATTCTTAAGGGCGACTCTCTGTGGGCAAACATGTTTAGAGAAAAATTCTTAAAAGGCAATCACTTGATGCGATGCACGGGTACTGGAAAAATGCGTATATTTCGAATGCTGCAACCTTTCTTTAGCTTGATTATGACCAACTCACAGGTCATGGTGGGGAATGGGAAGAATGTTGACTTTTGGTGTTCGAACTGGACTGGATCTGGCCCTCTTCTGCTCAGGTATGTCGTTTCTCCCTCGTGCTTTCCATGCCTGGATGAGTTATGGGCTGATGGGTGCTGGCAGTGGCAAAGTTTGGGGGTGCAGGTATCTGAACAGTTAAAGCATGAAGTACAGAATTCTATGATTTGTTTAAGCGAAAAGAAAGATCGACTGATATGGAAATTAACTGATTCGGGAGAGTCCAATGTCAAGTCTGCTTGGGAGGCAGTGAGAGCTTCGAGTGTCCCTGTGCCTGTGACCTCTGTGATCTGGAACCAATCGATTTTCCCAAGTGCAAAACTGCTGGGCTGGAAGATATATCAGAAAGCAGTAGTAGAGGACTCAAACTTCCAGCGGGTCGGTGTTGATTTGGCCAGCAGATGTTCTCTATGTTACAAGGCTGTGGAATCTACTTCTCACCTGTTCATACAATGCAACTTTGATAAAGAGGTTTGGGGGAAACTGGCTGCATTTCGTGGTTTTCAGGTTTTCTCCGCTGAATCCTTTGGTTTGTATGATGAGACTGATCAAAATTTCTAAAAAACACTCTGTAAGTCAGAACTTGTTAAGAGGTGTTCCACTGGTGGTAATTTGGAGATTATGGAGGGAGCGATGCAGAAGGGTCTATGAAGATAGCTCACTCTCGGCCTATGCTGTGTTTGTAGATATCTGCTCCACTCTGCGTCTTCAGGCTTATGGCGTTAGACCCAAAGATAAGGAAGGCATGATTGGTATGGAATTCTTGAGGGCATTAAAGGTAGAGCTGAGGCATGAGCTGAAACAAAAAATTATTTGGATAAACTGGTCCCCTCCTCCTTCGGGCATTTTAAAGCTAAATGTGGATGGGGCATCGAAAGGAAATCCTGGAAGAGCTGGGGGCGGAGCTGTGGTAAGGAATGACTTGGGGCACATAGTTCTGGCTGCTTCTTTTTTTTATGAGGTGTGTTCCAACACGGAAGCTGAGTTGCATGCTCTCAAGGATGGTTTATTGCTATTTAGAAGTTATGGACTGCTAAATTATAATATTCAGATTGAAACTGATTCGGCCATGATGGTTCAAATGATAATGAAAGGGCACATGAGGGCCTGGAAGTTTTGGAGAATTTGTGATTTGCTGTTTTGGAGGGTACCTCTTCGGATTTCACACTTGATTTAAAGATTCCTCTCCGGGCTAAATTAATCCAGATGCAGGATCAACAAGGTGTTAAAACGCCAAGGAAAAAGTGCGCCATTTTTTGTGATTTTTTACCTATATTATGGATCCATTTCACATGATGGGGCTTTTGCTAAGGCTGCCATGGTTTATGGTCATTGGACTGTTTAGCTGGTTTTGCTCTAGTCAGCTGATTTTCTTTCCAACTGGTTCTCTCTGTGATGTGGTGCTTTCAGTTTGGAGGACTCTGCTGGTTTCCCTTGTTCCTGCTGGTTTTTCAGGCAACATCTGTTTCTTTAATGCTGTTGTGGGGGTTCTCATGTTGCTTTTCTGCTGCTTGTTGTCTGGATGCACTGTTCATGTGAACTGCTTCGCGATTGCTGCAGATTGTCTCTTCCAGCTGATCTCAGTTGGTTTATTGGCTGGAACACAGTTGGTTTTCAGCTGGGACTTCAGCTGCTCCTAGCTGAGATTTATTGTTACTTTTACGCCTTCTGCTGTATCATGTTGGCATTTATTGGCTTCCTCTCAGATGTTGGTATTTCAGGGTTCTGTTCAGCAGCATTCCTTCTCTGTCCAAGTCCACTGCTCACGTGAGCAGTCCGGTTGCTGCACTGCTGAATCTTCTTGTTTTCCAGCTGGTTTTCCAATTGGTTTCTTGCTTGTATGAGCCACTCAGCTGGCCTCTCTACTGTTTTTTTGGTTTTGCAATGAAGGAGTGCTGGGGGCTGTGTGTGGGTTCTGATCAGAAGGGGACTGTTCACGTGAACAGTCCAGATGCTGCTGCAGCTGATTTTTTTCAGCTATTTTTTTGTTTCTTTCCTCGGTTCCAGCGGCTGCTCTGAATTAACTGGCTTTCAGCGGGATCCCAGCTGCTTTCTCTTAGGGTGTTACTGCTGCCTTTTCTGATGAATTTCAGCTGCCTCTACTCTCACCCTTTGCAGCTACTTTTCATGCGTCTGTTCACCTGATTACAGCTGGAATTTTAGCTGCTGTTCAACTGGATTAATGCCACTTTTGTGCCTTCTGCTGTTCAACAAAATTTCTATAATAGAAAAGAGAACAAAATACATATTATCAAAGAAATGCTAAGCAATTAAAGGTTAGGAAAAACATGAAAACAACAACGAAAAATAAAAAAAAACCTATCGGATAATGAGAGTATTGGGGGATGAAAATAATAGAAAGAATGATCATAACAAACAATAAACACAAAAACAAGTAGAAATAGTCAAGTGTAAAACATATTTTACATATAAAATAAAGTCAACGCAATTAGGACGAATATATATACTTATCTGTTCAATCATCAGCTCGCCTTGCAAACTTTTCTCCTTCAACTCTTCTCAATCTTTCAAAACCAAACATCCATTCCACAAACAACTGAAATTAAAACACAAAATAGATTTGTCACGCACATAAATATGAAAATCTAAATAACAACAACAAAATATAATAAGAGACAAAAATAGGAGAAGAAAGATGAGCTAGTGGAGCAAAAGAAGCAAAAGAACACTAAACTCAAATCCATATCCCCTAAGCCATTAAACCTTAACTCTTAGCCCTTATCCCCGTAACCCCTACCCCTAACCTCTAACACCTAAACCCCTAAACCTTAACCCAAAACACCTATAGCTCTAATCCCCGATCCCTATGGCCTAAACCTCTTTGAATTCTACGTTCTATTAATCTCTTTTACATGCTACAAACTCCTAATATTCTTCCATACTTTGTCCTTTTGCTCTCCTCCAAATAATTCAACTTTCTTTCCAACATATAACAATTTAATAGAAAGGTAATAAAAAAAAGAAATAAAACATAATTTCTAAAATAGAAAAGCGAACAAAATACATATTACCAAAAAAGTGCTAAGCAATTTAAGGTTTGGAAAAACATGAAAACAACAACGATAAATGAAAAAGAACCTATCGGATAATAAGAGTATTGGAGGATGAAAATAATAGAAAGAATGATCATAACAAACAATAAACACAAAAACAAGTAGAAATAGTCAAATGTAAAACATATTTTACATATAAAATAAAGTCAACGCAATTAGGACGAATATATATACTTATCTGTTCAATTATAAGCTCGCCTTGCAAACTTTTCTCCTTCAACTCTTCTTAATCTTTCAAAAGCAAACATCCATTCCACAAACAACTGAAATTAAAACACAAAATAGATTTGTCACGCACATAAATATGAAAATCTAAAGAACAACAACAAAATATAATAAAGACAAAAATAAGAGAAGAAAGATGAGCTAGTGGAGCAAAAGAAGCAAAAGAACACTAAACCCAAATCCTTATCCCCTAAGCCTTTAAACATTAACTCTTA